TATTTCATCGTTTATAAAGGAGATCGTGACTAGACGAGTGGCGTGTAATAAATTCTTCCTGCATCTCGACGGAATATTCCATCGTTATGACACACAGTCGGAGCAAACATGGCGGATCGTTTTTATCGCACGGTGCAAAACCTTAAGCTTAAAATGGACAAATACTCCACGATTATTCCACATACAAATTTCATCTCGAGATCTACCACCGGTCGAAGAACGATCTTTTCGACTGACAATAAGATAGTGACTCGCTAATTTCTCGGAGCAAAGGAGATCGAGAGAAAGAGAAAGTGTCGCGGAAGTGAATTTCCGCGATCTTTTAGAAAACGCGGGAATTACGTAACGCGTGACCTTTGACGACGATTCTGATGGAATCGGTTCGCCGATCGGTTCGCCAAAACAGAGGCGTAGCCATGTTGCTGTGAGCACTTTCGTACTTTCTTCTTGAGAGGAAGATCTCTCTCTCTCTCTTTCTTTCTCTCTCTCTCTCTCTCTCTGCACACATATCATGTGCTGTGAGAATGTAAAACGATTCGCGATCTCTTCGATTTGGACTTTGCACGTACATACATATGTATAGATATGCATGCGCTTCGAATATGCACGAGACGACTAGCATCACGTGGAATTTCATTTTATTTTATTGCTCCGTTTATTAAGGCGTTCGACTGACGAGACAAGAGGATAAAAAAAAAAAACTTTCCCCTCGAGCTAGCTAAAATTAGCTTCCAAATTAGCTGCCCAAATGACTCGCGAAAGTGGGTGTTCAATCATCGTTTATCGTATAATACTTGTACTGAAATTCTTGTTTTTATCAGCGCTGCGACTAAAAAACACCTTACGTCATTATCTTTTACGTACATTTCCGAATTATATGCATACTTACACATTTCATCAACAGAATTGCGACCGGTCGTCGTTACAATGCTAACAGAGAAGTTCCGAAAAGTATAATATTGTATAATGCACAGTGCAACGGATTCGAATATTTATCACCTGTTATGTAACGTATTTGGAAATTATACTAACGAATGTTTGCAATGAATTTCTCGCATCTTACATGTAGACTGTTCGGATTTATCAAGCATTGTCAATATGGTGGTTATAGGTTTAGGTTAGGTTAGTTTCAATAGACGTTTTAAAAAGTTTTCGTAAAATACATGTGACGTATTCATCAAAGGAACATGAATCGTTGCATGATTTTTCAAGAGACAATCAACGTGTTATATTCTCAATGTTATGGTATTCAACTTTCTCGAAACGTTTGAATTTTCCCGCGACACGAGAGGCGTCTGTCAAAAACCGCACGAAATAATCTAAATAATGTAACATAACCTACGCATTATGTGTCCTCGACTAAACAAAATTTTTACGTTTTTTTGTCGGTTCAACGCGTACGAGTCGATAAAACAAACTTTGGAATTACCGATTGTTCCTGAAATGTTACATTTTCCCCGGCAGAGATGAATGAAAACTATCACAGTGTATCAGTTCACAAAAATTTCCAGTGCTTTGTTTACCAACTTTTCTAGCCACGTGTCTTTTATTTTCGCATCGACGCGTGATTGCAACATGCAAAATCCGGGAATCATTAGCTATAATTAGCCTGTGTTAGGTTGTTAGGTGATTGAATATGTCACAAACAACTACGATTACGATCCTTACGTTCTAAATTAGCTTAACTATCGGTACTCAATTCTTCATCGGTTAAGAAGATTACTTCAATAAAAAGAGTATACAAGTTTTTCCCTCAATTACAGAGTTTCCCGCAATTTTTTGCACGACGATAAATTTCGTCGCTCTATCGAAGCAGAATATTTAATATTAACATTTTTGAAAATATTCTTGACTGTCATTTGCATCATAGACATCGTTACACTGAAGGCAATATAAATAAATATATATTGTTTTCCAAAGTTATTATTCTTGCATTTTCATTTCAATTTATTCGTCTTAACACATTGTTGACCGGTTTGCACTAGCTATTTTAATTTTTGACATAAACAGGCTATTGTGAAATCTTTTCAATCGTGTTTTATTATTATAAAAAAAAAAATTACTTTTATTGCTATCTAGGCTCTTATGATGAATTATATGCAGTATACAATAGTGCGAGTGATCTTGAAATATATCGTAGTGATGTGAGAATTGATAGAGTTTATCAAGACTTATGCAAATTTGCAAAACCTATTACCATTGTACGTAGGTGTCGCTATACGTAGTTTATCGCAGCAAAAAAGAAATTACTGAAATAATATTACACGTGTAAAATATAATATACAAAGTTACGAGAAATATACAAAGTTCTATTCAAGTTCATTCAAATGTATTGAATAATTTATTCAGATTGTTTCACTTCACAGGTGAATTGCCGGTCAACAACGTGTTGGGAAACCTAACCTAAACCTGGTTTATTAGAACAAACAAGCAATTCTTTCCCTCCAATGGAAACTGTAGATTTTCGTGCGAATTGAACGTGAAATCAAAAGAAGAAACAGGGTTGATACAGGTAGAATATTTATTAAATAAAAAAAATCATAAATATCGATAAATTGCCCGTACAAAATATAAAACACCTGGTCGGTATTCTTTGCATTCCGGCATTTTTCATCTATGTATATTTCGATGAAAAGGAAGAAAGATCATCGGCAAAACGAGACCAGAATGCAAAGTGAGCACCAAAAAAGAAAAAAGGCACGTCGTAGAAACTTTGGCAGTGCGTCGAAGTTTCGTGGTTTCTAAGACTAGCGCTGATCTTTTGACAATTGACAATGAAGTGAATAACGGGAGGAGCAACGCTGACTATAATATAGCTTGAAACTGTCATTAGGATGAGGACGAGCTTGAAGGAAAATGGTGGCAGTGTGGATGGAAATTTTCAAGAAAAAAAAAGAAAAAGAAAAAGAAAATACAAAAAATACTTTAATTTTATTTTAATAAAAATCCACATGGAAGGTAAATTTACGATGATATAAATCAGAGGAAGGTCAGGTCTTAAGATACTTTAGCACTATTTGTACAATAATTATTCGCAACCTATCAAATTAAACAGTTATCCTCTTTCTCTCTCCTCTCGCATCGTTTCTTAATCACGCAATCTTCTCTTTCTTCTCTATTCTTATTCCGATCTTTTTCTAGCATTCAATGAGCAAAATACAATCCTACCAACAGACGAAGTTAATCGACGAGTACATTGCCATCGATTCACAGTTCCAAGTGAATTATTCGAGGTCTCGAGAAGAAGAGTCTCCCGAAACTGTGATGCTGACGACGACGATGATTCGCGAAAGAAAACGATCGGTACGGCTGACTCCTTCTTTATCGATCATTCGAGGTCAAGCTTACGTAATCAAGGAGAGGTTACTTAATGTACGTTTCTACACAAACAGGTCGATCGTCGAGGAGAGGAAAGTCTCTTTTTCCCCTTTTTCTGTTGGTTTCGCGCGTTTTGACTCGCATTAATCGTTCATACGCGCTAACCATCGTGCGTGAACGCTGGAAGAGGACAAGATGTTCTGCCATAATGAGAAAATGAAATGAAAGGGGGAGAGAAAGATCGGTGCGGATGAGACGAGGGAGTTCATTGCATGCCTCGCACTGTCGTAGCATTTCCATTGTCTCGCCACTTTGCCGTGGATTCGCTCGCTACGACCTTTTCTCTTGTGATTTTTCTGTCTTTTCTGCCTTCGTCTTCTCTTACTTTCGGCGGCACGTGTCGTTGTAGCAGCAGGCTTTCGAACAATCTTTCCCTCCTTCTGCTTCTCTTTCTGCTTAATTGTTTTCTGCTGGCCGATTCTCGTGTTAACAAAGAACGACAAAGAAACGAAACGTCGCATTGTTTCGACCGCGATGCTCGGACAATTCGTGTTTCATCCGACGAAATTGCTCCAAGGTTGATGATTCGTCAGATATGAAAAAAATGTTCTGAAAAAAAACCAAAAAAAAAAAAAAAAAAAAAAAAAAAAATGT